TTCTAAAAAGGTCATTTATTTCTGTCTAGAATGATGTACAAATGAGCGTTCTTGCTCATTTTGCCTCCGAGATATGAGCAAAAACGGGACGGAAATGTGCATTTATAAAGTGTTTGGGTCAATATAAGGAAGAAATCGTCGGCTGAAGATCGTGAACGCTCAAAAAACGCTGAAAATGTGTCGAAAATTTATATTATTTCGTTTGTGAGACTTCTAGCAAGTTTTTCAATGAGTTCGATGCATTTCTCGCGTCCGTGAGCTGAAAATGATGATTTAAGACATTTCAATAATTTTTTTTTAAATCGACCCCCACCCTTAGAAAAATTTCCACCAAAAATCCAAATTTTACATGCGTGTTTTTTGAGCTCAATCGATTCCTTTCGACATAAGAAGGTCACAAATGTGCATTTATAACGTGTTTGGGTCAATAATAAGGAATGAATCGTCGGCTAAAGATCGGGAACGCTCAAAAATTATTATTATTTTATCGCTATATTATTTCGTTTCTGAAACTTCTAGCAAGTGTTTCAATGCGTTCGATGCATTCGTCGCGTCCGTGTGCTGAAAATGATGTAAAATTTTGAAAAAAAATAAATTTTTTAAAAAATTTGGAAAAATGTGGACCAAAAATCAAAAGTTTCAAACGCAGGTTGCCATAATCTTCCATCAGCGGATAAAATATCAAAGAAACTGAGCTAATTTTGATAAAGAACTGACGTTCAATTCTTGAAGCTTTTTCAAATTAGTGTTAGCTGCGAATGGAAGACGTAATTTCATCCGTCGTTGTTTCCATTAAATTTAATTAATTATTAAAATAACATGTCGCATTATTGATTCGAATTAATGATCAGTATGACGCACGACCTGTAGACGATGTGCGCCATTCCGATTGAAAATTCTGGTTCTGTAGCTGTAGAGTGCAGAACCATGCAATTCCTCCACGAAAACCTGCACCACTCTTCTTAAAAGTAGGTCTATTTACTTCTTATATAATTCTTTTTCATCTACTTGAGGCGAAACGCTCCGATTCGGTTGCTCCGGCAAGGTCGTTCGTCGAATCGGCAAAAAGTTCTTTCACTTTTGACACTGAATTTCACTTTTGCAATCGGCAATTAAAGCCAAAACGATTTGCCAAGCGCGGTACTCATTTTGCTTTATTCATCTTGAGCGCTTTTCGCGCAACTATCATACACTGCGAATATGAATAATGCCTTTCAATCTAGGCCTGGTCTTACTTTTTGATGGAAACAAGGGAACTGTTAGTTTCAAAATGGCGCCAGGGCGCCATATTTCTTTTAAAAAGTTAATGGAAAGTGGGGCTTGTGACACCTCAAATAGCAGGTATTTGCAGCCTCTATTCATTGCTGTTCGGGTTTTTCACATCCGTTCAGCGGTTTCTTAGAAATGACTAAAAATAACAAAAAAATTTAACAACTCTGTAAAAAGGTAAAAAAATCTACATCTTAAATAAAGTTTTTTGCGCTTGCAAACACCCGACTTGAAGCGATCATTTCAACCATTCCCTAACTGCATGAGTAAGCACTCTAAACATTTCCAGCATTCATAAAAAAAATATTTTTTTCAGAAAATCGCTGCGTGTTAACAATTAACGAATCAATTACTTCATTCGAAAAATTCCTGTTGACGATACTAAAAATCTGACTTGCTTCAAAGGTTCAAAAATCAATGAAATTGTTCACTTTACTTTGATTGAACGATTACTTGGAAAAAACACAAAATACCAAATGAGAAGCCTTCAATTCATCGCTCAAGTGGTTAAGTTTGCGCATTTGGCTAATCGCAGACTCCTCTAATATGAAACGTTGCTTAAATCAGATTTTTAAATTGAATAACTGCTTATTATTAGGCGAAATATCGAAATGATGGTAATGAGAAAGTGTTCTGCTCTAGATATGTGATTAATAATGCGATGTGGAACAGTTGCAATTCGCATTAAAATTAATTACTGGAAAAGAACCAGAAAATATTTAAGCGCATATGACAACAGATAAATTAATAAAAGTTCAAAAGCCAGACAAAAAACACTTCCGGACTGATAACCGAAGTTTGGCATCTAATGATGCGACCCGAGTTCTCGTTTTTGTAATTATGTAGTTTTTTGCCTTCAATAAAAACCATTCGCTAATGATTTTTTTGATAAAGTATAATGATGCGCTTATAAACAAATAAAATTGATGATTGCCGACTAAATTTCTTCTTCTTTGCATGCTGTTTTCCAATTAAATCCCATTTTGCAAAGCCAATTAAATATGTTTTTGCACATCGCTTGTTTTCTCCATTAATTGTTCAAATTGTAAGTAATTTCACCCGGTTGGCCAACGTTTAAACTTGTCTTATGACTAAACAACTTCATAAATTATCGGCGGCAAAAAACTGAAACCTGAGGAAGTCCAACTAGATGAATGCATTAAATGGTTTAATTAATTTTTAATAACGCATTTGAATTCCGCGTATTGATGACCGATGAAATTGTCGATGTGAGCTGATGAGCTTTTTGGGCTTTTGGGCCGCTGCAGTGCTAAATGCGCTGCAAAAATAAAAGTTTGTTTGAATTTGATGTAAGTTTATCAACAGGAGGCGCCAACCAAAACCAAAAACTTGCAATTTTGCGTTTATTCGCCACAAATAAACCCTTGTACATGATGGCAGCGTTTCAAGAAAGGTGGCCAGAAAGTTTCAGTTTGTTCTTCGCTTATTTGCTGATGTTAATCGGGATTTGCTATTGGGTTTCTTCCTTCTTCCAACAGCGCGTCTTCTCCTCAATCGCCGTCGTTTTCCCAACTTCGACGTGCCTTTTTGGGCGGATTTCCTCGTTTTCTTTGCACCGCAACTCAACGTGCCAGTGTTCTCCAACCCAACATTCCCATCCACTTCCTTCTTCAGCGATTGGATCTGCTTGTTCAACAAATTATACTGCCCTTCCATGTTGCCGATTTTCTTATTCAATTCGACAAATGAACAATCCGCCTTTCTTTTCACATCTTTCAGCATGCGGATTATTCTCCAACAGTCTGCCATCGGGAGCTTCTAATTTTAATTTTAATCAGCAAAACATCAGTGACTGAATGACAATTTTTGCTGTTGGTGGTACCACCTGCAGAATACCTGTGGAAATTTCAAGGATTTGATTTAGGAAAACGTGTTGGATTTTTGAGTAGATTTGGAATGGAGATTTTTCTTAGTGTCACTGAAACTGTGTGCCCAATATCAATAAATTGGTTGGATCTGTAATAAGAAAAATATCTTCGTTGATTGCCTAAAATTACAAATCAAATCTATTCCTGGGTTTCAGTCATTTATTGTCTCTATTTATTAATCGAAAAACGTTTCGGTGTATTTTTCCACCATCATCAGTTAGTCTAAAATAACAGATACTTAAAAAATTTTTTATTAATTTAAAAAAACAACCACAGTTCGTCAACAGAGACTAGAATTCTTCGTTCATATACTTAATTATTTTTACTTACATATGTAGCGTTGTTGCTGCTTTAAGCCTTGGCATGCGTTTCAACTAAATGGAAAAACATAAATAAAAGA